TTACTTTTTAAATTGTTTTCGTATTAGATAATTCATCGAACAACTTTTCTTTACAGCTTAAAGTATTAAAGTCGGATGTCACTCCTAAGGCCCTCAATCCATTTTCGCCATATTACACTGAAGTATTTATTATTGACTAGTTGTAGAGGGTATAATATAAATTGTATACAAATCTTAAAGGAAGGTCATTCATTACAAGTAGGTATTAAACCCAATGATTTGTATGAAAGAAATCCGATCAGCCAGTCTTTGAAAAGAAAAAAAAAGCTTAGATTATTTTTAATTCATCTTCAATCAGCTGGATCATTGTTTTGGGTTTTACGCCTGGATGAGTTAAGGAATTTCACTCGTTCAATGTTTGTCTCTTACAGATGAGTGACTAAACGTAAAGGATTTGGCCAATGTTTTCTTGTAGTATAATAGAATTAAAGCACGGTGTCTCTTCAATAAATTGTTGTGGGAACATGATCCAAATTTCAATGAGAATTCTGCTTTTTTAACTGACACTATTGTGTTCAATCTGCACTCATTTACCACTGATTTGCCTAATTTATTAAGAGATGAATAGGCGGAAGTTGATCGTTTATATTTTACATGAATAACCAATTAAAGTAGCAATGATTTTCTGATGCACTTGAGATAATTTGAATTGATAACAGTAATAAAACGAATGCAAAATTATCGAAGATTTCTTATCTTATCTTCTAATGACGAGCAGCAGAAATATCAAATTGATTATACATGTAATACACAAAATAACCTTTTATTAGGAAAAGTTATATTGACTAGCAGCTAGAATAAGATTCTGTCATCTTCACAAGTATGTAGCAATGTATAACGGTCACATGATCACTTAAGAGTCTTTTTACTAAGTATTTTCAGGGACTAAATTATTGTTAGTAGTACAATTCCGAAGGTTCTAAACTCAGTAACATCCTGATCATACGAAAGTATCACAAGAAAATTAGACCTTAATTATGCACCCTTTAAACATTACAAATTCTCCTTTCACTTTAGTTCACTTCCCACTCTCGAAACACTCCTGTACATTGGAGATATTTAAATTACCAAATAAAGACACAGTTGACCTATATCAATATCCTAATGTGGTAAATAACCCACTATCTTGATAGGTGAAATAGACAGCTTTATTGGTGGTTTACCTTCATATTTTATTTTCAGTCCGTTATTAGTGAAGCAAAGCTTCCAGTTGTTCAGCTGAACCAATATAAATAACAGAATTTCCAATTCAATCCACAGCAATTGTACGCGTGGTAATAGGAATTGGTTTTGATCTAAACGCTGTGACGTAAATACGATTTCTTCAATTCGACTACAAACATAGTTTAGAAATTTGTTTTAATACTTGTACTAAATGTAGAGTTGCCGTTTACTGGACCATCAGATCTACCATTAATCACAAAAGGGCTAGTCTACCCCATGCACAAACATGAGATGGGATCTTGTTAATAGTCATAATGTCCCCGAGACACATTCATTAAATAGATAAGATCATCAATTAAATTTAAATGAAAGACTGACCGGAAAACTTTAAACAGTGGTATTTGAAGCCCAGACCCAATCTAGTAACAGATATGTAGCCTACATACATACATCATTAAATATCACAACAAAGCAAAAACAGAAATACACATACATTTATTTCCTATTCATCTGTCCTGTCATACAGCATCATCATCTGTTATCTCTCCTGATTCCCAGTCTGAGGTACCCACCTGAGGGTAACAGCGAGCAACACTGAGAGTATATAAAAGCTCCTCTAGAAATTTTTAGCAAGTAGCAAGTGGGTTATTCGTTGTTTTTGTCAAGATTATTACCGTTGCTTAGCATCATCAGCTTTTATTATAATCTATGGTTCTTGGCTTCGCGTTTGTTATTGGGTCAAAAAGATTGGGAACCATGTTTTTAAATTATATCAAGACATTAAATGATCTTGAGTTCTTCAAACTTTAAACCTGTCCTTACTTTCAACAATATAGTTCAACAATACATGATTGTATTCTTTAATCAAACTTTGTATCAATGAACTCATGTTCAAAATATACATTTAGATAAAAGTAGAATAGACTTAACATGTTGCACTAAACAAGTGAGATTTCTCTTTTTACCAAATATCAACATAGTCTTTAGAAATTATTTCTGTGTAAAAACAGTTAACAAATATCAAGTTTTCTCACTGTGTATGTTAGCTGTCAACACAACGCACAATATCTTTACACTTCTTGTGACAAGATTTCAATTGCACTTTTGTACGTTACAAATCTGAAGCATACGTTTGTTAAATGAATTTATAAAGAAAGGTTTTCTCCATTGTTTCTAGAAATATCTGTTTTTGTCTGAATTATATGGGATAAATGCCACCAATGGGCTCTCAACCTGAGGGTTTGATTCCAAAATACATGTATACGAATCATTACCGTGATATATTGTTTACAGCTGATTGTTTTACAAGGTTCCGGTTACTTAACAGCTTCTGTTGGGAGGTTCCGATAAACAACTACATGCTTAAATATATCACTAGTTGAAGCTGTGTACTTAGTTAATTAAGTATTTTGATCACAATTTACAGGGATAAGGAACATGGACTCCACTAATGTTTGTTGACATATACCTACCAATGTAAATGTACATGTATGTTACTGAATATAAAATCTATTTGTTACAATTAACTCTTTTATCAGATTGGTAGAATAATATCTTATAATACCAATAATATTCCTTTCACAATTTGTCCGTATTGTGATCCAGAAATGATCGCCCAAGTTTAATCGAGTTGCTTTATTCTTGAGTGTATATTGTCTTTGAGATGAAACAGCGACAACTATCTGCTCAGTGCTAATACACATAATATATATAAAGATAACAGCCAACACCATCTGATCGGACCAACCACTGATTTGTTATAACAATCGTGATCGGGGCAGGGTTGTTGTAAATGCTAACCAATAAGTTTGGTAAGATAAACATGAATACCATTCTTATTTAAGTAAGAAATATAAATATAAATCTGTGGTCTTATTGGCAAGTGTGACATCTCATTATCTGACTTATTATAGGCCAATGACATTTCCTTTTGGTTTAAACAGGGTATTTAATATGCATCATCATGAACCTGGTAATCTCGAGGTGGAGATAAGGTCAGGAATGTCATCTCGAGATGACCACTAGGCTTTAATTATTCACACTTTGATGTCAACGTTCTTGCCTTTATAAAGAATATCTTTCATTTCAATTTATGGAGATTTGTGTATAAAGACAAAACTTCTTTTTCGTTATTTAGATACACTGAATATGTTTTTTTTAGAGGATATTGATTGTAAAGATAATGAAATATCATTGGATGAATTTGGATGTAACACGTTGAAGTTTATGGGCCACAATTAAAACCCATCGTGTTGACATACTTGGTGGTTTAAAGATGGGTTCCCTTATTTTCATTTACAAAAATGAAAATGCTAATACTTATATGAATAGAAAGTAGGGGTGTTCTAATGACTTGGAAAAATACCAGTTTGTCTCACATGTCCATGATTAATTCATAATTAGCTAAATTAGAAGAGAAGTACCAGCAGAATTCCAATGAGCGAATGATCAAGAAAAGTCAAAAAGTCTTTTTTGTTTATCCAGACTGTACATACATGAGCTTTTAATTAATATGCGATAGGAACGGCGTCGTCCACTAATGCCTACATCCACTTATGCCTACAGTTACTAATGACTACAATAAAATAAAGCAGTGTGGAATAATACCTACATAGTGAAAACAACATACCCATGCTAGGAATAAACTCTTCCAATATTAGATATCATTTCTTAACCTAAATATTATTAATTGGAGTCTAATAGAACTGAATAATGTCAATTTATTGTCAATCATTCTTTATTGTGATATTAGCACAAGTTAATATTCGATTTCTTTTTTCAATACATGTATAATCAATTAACTGGATAATGTCATTTTATTGTTGAATATAAATATCATTCCTTGTTGTGATATTATCACAAGTTAATATTAGATTTATTTTCTCAATATAATCAATTTACTGGATAATGTCAATTTATTGTTGAATGTCCTTCCTACTTAGTGATATTAACATGAGTTGTGATTTTAGCAGAGGATTAGAAGCTTCATGAGTTATTATAGTTCATGAGTTCAAATAGTTTGCTTAATTTGACACTAAAAAAATAAGGAAACCCATCTTTAATGGCATCATTTAACCTGCAAAACCGTCATGTGACATTTCAACTGGCAGTATATTATTTATAGAACACATATTTCCTGGTAATTCCATGTATTATAAATAGTCTACTGATGTGATCAGATTGATTGATGGCAATGATATATTTCTACTATTGATTATTTCATATTACCTGTAATACCTTCACTTACTCATAGTTAGACCATGGTGAATCATTTTACTATTTTATTCACTTCCAATTAAATTTGATTGAAAAAAAATGCCCACTAGCCAATATTACCTTAGCCTCGGAATATCGGAATATTATGCAGGTTATGTGTAGGGAATTGTTAATAGTTCAATTTTTTTAAAAAAAAAATAATACTTGTCAAAACACAACACTTGAAAGGTATAATGTTGTCTTAATTAAGTACAACCTTGGTGTCAAGTTTCAGAATGAAAACCTAACATCTCTTACTATTACAATAAATTAGTACACCTTGATAGGAGAAAGAAATATTAACTTTAATGAAATTTACCATATATCCTTGGGCATTTATTCAATTATCTTGTATAAACAGGGCAATACAGTGTTTTAATTATTTTAATGTTATGGTATGACAAATTTCAATAAAATTGCATTAATTGTCGGATAATTCATATTGGCATCGTGAGTGTGAGTCACCTATATGGTATTCCTGAGAGAGAGAGGCAGATCATTGGCTTATCACATTGTTTAAATCTCTCAACTCTTAAGGTAATAGGACTACTACAAGTACTTGTTATTTTCAAGGAATTAAAATGCGATATCTGGATAGGAAGTATAATCACCCACAGGTAAATTTTCAAAATTTATCATCTACTAGACTAAGGCTAAGTGGATAATATCGTTTGGATATTTTTATATGTTTGGTCAAAACATCAGATAATAATTACTTATTATTTGATCACAGAATAAGAAACGCACCTTGCCCATTATTTATTTAAAAATTCTTATGACAGATTTAGATTGCTTTTACATTAATGAGAATTCCGACCTATTATAAGTTTCATTTAATTGAATTCCTGCATATTATACTATTCCTTACCACTTTATTCTATCCGATTAACCCACCTCCTCTTGCCTGTTATAACATGTCATTATATGAGTCCAATCATACAACATCAGATTGAGTCATCGTATTTATGAATATGACACTCTACTTTCATTTTTCTACCTGTGATGAGGAAACAGGTAATTTGTCAAGTGCGCATGCGTACAGGTGACCATTGATAAATCTGCCATCACAATACGGCACAGTGACATGAAAAAACTTTGGGATCTTTTTGCTTTTTCAGGAAATAATGGGTTCTAGACGAGATGCCTCAGCCCTAGAACAATGCGTCACACAGATCCGTGCCAAAAAGGTGAGTAGAAATTATTATTATTTACCCGCTAGATCTTTCCAAAACGTCCAGGTGTGTGAGTCATGTATGACAGTTTCAATAAATACAGACCTATTTTGGTACACCATTTTTAAAGGTCTATTATAGGCAATGTTTACACTGTGAAGAAAAATTACCTGTAACAACCCGAATTGACCTAAATTAATCTATCAGGTGTTAAGGTTAAAAGTAAAATACATATATCAAATGATAATATGAAAGTGACAATTTCCAAAAATAGACATTGTTTAATGAGTGACCTATATTTATTTTTTGTAACCTTTTGAGGTATGGTTTCAAGAAAAATTAAACTCTTTAAGCATTTAGAATAGTAAGTTGTTTTATCATCTATAACATAATGTGTTTTACAACCATGTGTGATTTTTCATCATGTTTGGCTCTTGTGATTGATACATGTAGTAAGTAATTATTTTCATGAAAAGGTTATCGATACTGTGAATGAGGTCAGAACTCTGTGTTATTGTTGGATTAGTGCATAAGTGTAGTACCATGATGCAAAGTGTTGGATGACACTGATATAACACTACACTTTGAGGTATTTGGTGACCAATTTAACACTAGTTTTAATCTAGTACAACTTTTGTGTTTCACTAATCCCAACTCAGCATTTCAGAACACTGGCTTAGCATGAGTTTCCATGTCCCTTTTACACTAACCCCTAGAGTTTTACACAGGTCAAAGCTCAATGTTAGATTAGTGTTGTGTTATCATTTGCCAATTTGTTTTTCTTGCCACAACTGGGGCGAAAGACTGGGATGTTACAGTTACCAAGCATCAGAAAGCAAGATGAAAACCTTTTTCTCTATTTGACATACATTTAGCTGCTCAGCAGGTGACACAGTCACGTAGGTTTAAGTCTGATACTATAGTACCACCAGAGTAATAGGAGTGTTATTCTGGTTTTAAGCTGGTGTATTGTCAGTGTTATGATGATGCTAGTGCTATGGTGACTGGATTAGCACTAACTAACACTCAGTTCTGACCTCATGCAATGAGCTTTCTGATTCTACCCTTTTATTCAGATTCAACCTCTACTTCCTCTCATCTCTAACACAGAATAAAGCTAATGGCCCAGATCATATTAATAATAAGATTCTTAAATTATGTTCTAGCACTTTATCTCCACCTCTTTCAAAACTCTTTAACCTTTGTCAGGAATACAGTATATTCCCAAACATTTGGAAATCTGCAAACGTAATACCTTTATTCAAGAAAGATAATCCGAGTATTTGTTCCAATTATCGCCCTATTTCGTTGATAAGCTCACTTGGTAAAGTTTTTGAAAGGCTCATGTATAATCATATTTACAATTTTTTAACTCAAAACCGCATCTTGTCTCAATTTCAGTCTGGATTTGTGAAACAAGATTCAACTGTATTTCAATTGATTGACATATATGATCAAATTTTATCAACTTTAGATATGGGGAAAGAAATTAAGATGGTATTTTTAGACATTAGTCGTGCTTTTGACAAAATCTGGTTGAAAGGTCTTACATATAAACTGAATTCTATTGGAATCCGAGGCAACCTTCTAAAACTTTTACAAAATTATATTGAACATAGAAACCAATCTGTTGTGATTAAAGGCTCGACTTCAAGATGCCAATTTTTAAAAGCAGGGGTTCCTCAGGGATCGGTCTTAGGACCACTATTATTTTTAATCTATATTAATGATATTACTAAAGACATTACTTCAAACATTCGTCTCTTTGCCGACGACACCTCACTTTATCTCAGTATTGACGAATAAAGTGGGGTGTCGAAACACCCTTAACCATGATTTAGATTTGATTCACATGTGGTCTATCAAGTGGAAAGTAAATTTTAATCCTCATAAAACTAAATGCATGACTTTTTCCAGGAAACATGAACCGTCGCTTTTTACTCTTAATTTTAATCATATAGTTTTAAATGACTCCGATGAGCATAAACATTTAGGTGTAGTTTTTGATAAGTCTGGTTCGTGGAGCTCTCATATTGATTTTTTAATTTCCAAAACTTCTAAAATGACCGATTGCCTTCAAAGCTTAAAATACAGACTCTCCAGGAAATCTCTAGAAACTATATACAAACAATTCATTTTACCAATATTTGATTATGCTGATGTTTTATGGAACAATTGTACAAAAGAAGATAAAACTAAATTAGAAAATATCAATTTGGACGCAATTCACACTATAACAGGTCTTGTTCGGGGAACTTCCCATTCAGTTTTATACAAAGAGTCCGGCTTCTCAAGTTTAACCGATCGTCGCTTTTGTCACAAAGTAACTCTATTTTATAAAATGATTAATGGTTTAACACCTCAATATCTGAGAATTCTGGTACCACCTCATATTTCGATTGTAAACCCTTACCCCATCAGAAGCAATCACAATTTTCGCACTATTCCATGGAACACTGTAGCTTACAAATCATCTTTTCTCCCATCTACTGTACAAATCTGGAACAATCTGCCCGACTCAATACGTAATTCTTCTTCCCTCTCTCAGCTTAAATCCCTGCTTGTAAAATTTACCTCAAAATCCTCTGTACCATTATATTTCTACTCTGGCGACCGTCCATCACAAATAATACATACCAAACTACGTCATTATAAAAGTCAACTAAACGCTCACAAATTCTTAATGCACATATCCGACAATCCATCCTGTTCATGCGGCCACACCTTTGAAAATTCTGAACACTTTCTTCTCTACTGTCGCAACTTTCAAAACAACGAAACAATACAA